GCCGCAGAATAACTGACTTTAAGATACATGAAGAGCAGTGCGGCTTCCGGGAGGTCTAAGCACCTCTGACCAAATATTTGCCCTGCACCAAATTGTTCGGAAATCGTGGTAGTACGCGAGTCCGGAGTACATGTGTCTTGTTGAGGTTGAAAAAGCCTATGACCGGATCCCACGGAATAGTCTGTGGTCGTGCCTGCGTGCATACGAGATGGATGGCCAGGTGCTAAGGGTCATCCAGTCGCTGCTTTCTGATAGCAAGTGCTGCATCAGAGTAAATGGCGTTAAGTCGAAACCTTCCAGCTTTGGCACTGGTCTCAGCCAAAGGTGCGTCCTGACCCCTCTCCTGTTGGTGTTGTACATGGATGGAATAGTGAGGAGCAGCCATGGTGCTTACTCGATCTTATGCTCGTTGCTCTCTTGAGATTAGCGGAGAGGTAGTGGAGCAAGTGGAGAAGTTCAATTACCTAGTAGTCGTATTTACTAGTGATGGAAAATTTGAGGAGGAGATCGGCCGGCAAATTTGAGTAACCAGTGGGGTTCTGTGCGAATTAGCCCGATCCATTGTATCTGAAGCAGAACTCAGTCTGAAAACTAAGCTCTCTGTGTTCAAATCGATCTTCATCCCCATGCATACTAACGGTCATGAATCGTGGACCACGGCTGAAAAGCTTCGAACCCGGGTACAAGCTGCTGAATTGGGCTCTCTGAGACGAGCCGCTGGGCTCGCGTCTCCTCTTGGTCCGGGATACATACATCCGTGAGAGCCTTAGTGTACAGCCTTTGCTTCTCCAGATTGAGAATCACAGCTGCGACGGTTTGGGCATGTGTTGCGAATGCCTCCAGAAAAGAAGGCTAAGCAACTGTTTCTTGTGAAAGCGACCGCCCGAAGGCCCAGGGGACGGCCAAGATTAACTTGGTGCAAATATGCGGAAGGAATCTGTTTCTGACTCCAGTTGTCTTCTGCCAACAGATGCCAATGCACAGGATCTGGAATGCTGGTATCACTTTCTGACGCATCTGCTTCCGCGACCTGAAAGAAGAAACGGTCATGGAACATGGAAGAATGATTGAATGCGCAATCATTGTCCAGTCCGGAGCAAGACCGGCAATTGTCCTGCAGCTCATTGTGAAAAACTTATGGGAAAGGCCGAACTTGGTGCGTTTGTTCCTTCGCTTCGATGACGAGAAATTTTGGAACTGGAGTCGCTGCTTCAGCTCTGAGTCGGATGTAATTTTGTCCTGTTACTCAGGTGCATATGGCACACATGCATGGAAGGGTTTATTGAACACCCATGAGAAAGAAGAGATTGAGAGTCTTGATTAGGTCTTAATTCAGGAAAAAATCTGTAAGAAGCTCATCATACATGTATCGTCCGCTCCTGTCATCATTTCAACCTGTGGAGAAAATTTGGAAGCTGGGATGAGCAGAACAGTTTCCGGCTTAAGTATGCGCCTGTCTAAAAGATGGCTGGTGTATCGAAGTTACTGATTGCGGTGCATGTGAAGAGACAGGCAAAACTCACCTTTTTTCATTTACACTGTGCGTCTGAACCTCTATATACTTCATGCACTCGCTGGATTTCCTACTTAAATGGCTCAACAACATGCACTGTGTTAAAAATGACAAATAATGAAAATGCTAACAATAAAATATGACAAATTGCACAAGCAAATTTAACCCATGCATGGGAGTTTTCAGGCAGGATTGTCGAAGCTGCGAAAAAAGATTAGCGTATGCGCGAGTGTTCGCCGGTTTCGTTCATTTCTTTGCGCTAGACAATGGCGTCATTGCATATGCTCCCTTTTCCGTTTCAGTAACGGTTCAGTGGGCCTCTATTTCCAATTGCGTCGGGTTGTTGTGATCGACACCTTTTTTACTATTGCAAATAAGATTTTCCATCGGCGTAGTTTTTTCTCTCTAGAGCGTGTAATCGTATATTTCTCGAGGAAGGCAATTCCTTTATGCCCAGCGTAAAAGTGACCACACTGAAAGCAATATTGTTTATGGATACCACATATGCATGAGAGCGCCTCATCTCACAGTGATACAGCGTGTTTCCGTTTTGTCTTTCCGTCAGTCACACCAACTTAGTGCAGTCTTTAAAAAAATTTTGTTGTAAACAGTAGGTTGTTAACATCTACATTCTGAGTAGAAAAATGATATTGTGCACCATGTTTACATTTGCGTTACGCAGAGGAACATCGGCTGTAATGTTCTTGAAAGATTTAGCAGGAATCGGCGTCGTGGCTCTTGAATGAATGAACGTAGGGAATGTTAGCCTGTCCGTCGAAGGATAATCACACGGCAGCGTTGTATGCAAAATTTTTGCAAACAGTGGAAGAAAGAAACAGCGAAATAAAGCAAGGAAGAAAAGCGTTGTACAAAATGCTATAATAAATACTTTGAGCTATGTTGCCAGGGTTTAGCACTGACTATACACAGCATAGAGAATGGTTGACAATAACATATCCTACAAGATATAAATATAAATTGACATTTACAGATGGCCCTTCGTTTTAGTTAACTACCATGCTGGTCAAGGCAAAATTTAAGCGGTATAGAACACGCATCAGACAACATGACGGCATACCTAGAAATCTTTGGAATGACTACTCCAAAGGCACCATGTTGCGTCTTTGGCTGGTTACACCGCAGCACCGTGAGGTCAATTCTTTGCTTAAAAGGATAAGCAGCTAATAAAAGAGAATTTACGCCGCGTGTTGGGTTTGAAACCGACAATTTGACGTAAAAAGTAACCCATTATCCTCATCAACAACAACGATGCAAAATCTCTTGAAAAACTCCGGCACAATTTCTAGTACGGTAGTAGTTAGTATCTATCTATGACATATTAGAATTTCTCAATCCTGGTGAATGCAACACTGCATTACTGTATATCTAGCTTGATTTTTGTGTTTGAAAAAGGGCGGTGTTTGATGGTTTTCGTTTTTGAGACTATAAACTGTTAAAGTAGGTAACGTGTACTTCATTACGTTTACATCATAATTTCGGTCAAAGTTAGCGATTTGATATTGTAAGAAAGCTGTTCGGAGGTACCCGTTACTGTGAGTGTTTAAAGTGCGCGTATTTGGATTGTGTTGAAATATTTTTACGTGAACAGTGGTTTTGCTTGTGTACGGCTGAAAGTGCATCGAGATACCGTACTTTTGGTCGCTGAGGTAGGTTTATCGCTTGATCATTTGTATTTAGTTTGACATAAGTTAGAAAATGGGCGACAGCGATGAAGATTATGACCGTAGACGGGGTCGCGACAAGTTCTTGCGGGAACGAAACGATTTTCAGGATAAGCGAAGGGACGGCGGCGGCGGTGGAGGAGGTGGTGGTGGCGGCGGCGGCGGTGGCTGCGAAAGGTCTGATTCTTATGCACGTATGTTAGGTTTAAATGCCGATGAATGTTTGATATTCGCTTTTACGTAGCGGACAGCGTCGTTTTCGTTTGCCTCTTGCTTTAGTTGCTGTCAACGTCATGTCAGGCATCAGGATTAAGGGCTGAGTACCCATATTAATAATATCGGACGTTTTGGTTTCTCAGAATGATTTAGGCGATGTTCCTTGCTACGGTAAAGATCATGTTCCTCGTCACAAGCAAGTCTGCCTCTAGCAGCTACTTTAGGGTACGATGTTGGCCTCCGACGTGAGAGCGGCAAATGGTTTTGAATAGATTTCCGTTCTCTCTCTGGATGATTCTGTCAAACCGCTACAGACATCGGTCCCTTGTTTCTACACAAAATTTTCAGGCCGGTCATCTTTTCATTCTTTACCCGATGGAACCGCTGCAGTTGCAGACAGTACTACTGAAAGGTTTCCAACATCTTTTCGTGAAACTTTAAACGGATAGATGTTTCGAGGCTGTACATCAGGATTGGGAATGCGGCGGCTTTCAGTACGGTGATCTGAAAGTTGCTGTTCGGATAGACCGGTGTTGCCACACCTTAAAATCTATCTTCCCACACATTTTGCCAGCCCACTAAGAGGAAGTTGGACAGTATGCACTACAGCGGGCATCTGATTCGAAATACAGCTTTAAAGCAGAACATTCGTAGTTGATGACCAAAACGGAGATGATCGCCGAAGCATATGCTTCATGAGGAGAAAGGAAAAGAAGCAATGTTTCTAATCGTTGGAATGTCGGTGCCGTTGATGTCGGTGTCGTTGGAATTTCTAATTCCTTACACCTTCATGATGGCGCCGTTTTTTACAACCTTTTTTTTCATGAAGTTAATGGTGGGTACTTTGATCTCCATTTCTGTTATCAGTCAGGAATGCCTCACATTTTAAAGGCAGAATCGTCAACAGCTATATAGCAAGCTTAGTGTGCCGTCTGCTGTTTCCTTACTACGGAGTGGTCCTTATGAATCTGGAAGGAAGAAAGACGAACGACTCGGACCGGGTCTCGAATCTGAGACCTCTTGGTTCTGAGTCTGATGCTTTACCAAACGGGCAAGCCCGGTCTAAAGCAACGTGTGACAGATTCTTGACTCAAGGGAATTCGTGATTAAGACAAAGATTGCCTCCTCTGGAATCGAACTTGGCACATCCGGAGTTAGAAGCTGACGTTTTAGGCACTGTGCCATCATGCCGATGGCGGAAAAGAAGGATGCTACAGATGGCGCTCCGTCGGAATAATGTGAGAGAGGCTGACTTCCCAGCAGTTACATACTTTCTATCTTCCCTGTAACACGAGAGCGGTTTCTCCGAGGTTCATTTACTCATTTCACTTGGCATGCTGCCTAATCGAATGTCCGTCTGAGAGTGTTTCTAATTTCTTCTGATCAGTCGGTTGCCGAGCATATACTTTGTATGACATTACGCGCTCAGCCTTGAACCAACAATGACTTATGTCAACTGTACTTTGAAAGCCTGCCTAGATTGGGTAGAAAAGAAAAATGCTTAGTAAAGTTGAAATGCTTGTCTCCAGTAAACTTATTTATTGAACGCAGTTTGTGGTACCGTTTCTTCTGGAAGCCTTTGGTGTGGTGCTTTTCTCCATGCCATTACCATCTGTTATGGCGGTCATGCTTGATCATCCCATCTAGTTGTTTCGATGACCAGTTATCTTTTTGGATGGTGGAAGCGGTAGCGTCAGAGAGCGTCTCCAGCACTGGCGATCGTGTGCCAGCATCTGAGCTTAGGCAGAAGATCACCCTTATGGTATTCGACCATTAATAAACCATCATGACATCTCTGATGAGCTACTGCGAAACGTACTAACAGTTTGTGATCACAATCCGAAATTTGAACGTGCCATGCGTGACGTCAAACGCAATGCACACTGCTTCATGGCCGCTGTAGCATGTGATACCTATTTCCTTCATGCATTAGCACCACTTTCAAATATACTTTGATATTCGCACGCCCCGAACGATAGAGTAATTTTGTGCTATCCGCCTCGGCATGAATCCTTCGACATGCTGATTCAATTTGTTCTGTCAATCGTAGAAATGTTTAAATTTTCTGAAGTTAAAGTTTCATATTTAAATACTTATCCTCGGAAGTCTGTTTCTTACCGTGAGCCCAGCAATTCGACTTAGAAGGCCAGTTTTAGCCGTTTTGTATCCGAGGTCGAAGTATGTCAGAAATGGCCCACTCAGCTCTACTTTAGTCACAACTGTTTCTGCTGGTTCACGCAGAGAGGTGACTATTCCAGTTTGCAGTTCGATCTTCCTCACGTTCTGCATTACCAGTAATCATGACCCTGAGGTATCTGAATTTCTCAGCCTGCTCCACTACTTTTGCACTTTTTTGTAGAGTGTAACCGACAGGAGAACTTTTAAACACTAGGCATTTCGTTTTAGGCACGCATGCTGGCCACGTCGCTTTCTGCTACGAACCTTTCCAGAGAGCATTGGAAATCAGTTTCAGGAACAGAAACAAAAAAAGGTCGTTTGCAAACAGCAACCTCCTCGTCTTCTTAGCTGCACCTGACTATTCTATCCATGTACAACACAAACAGGATAGGGGACAGGATGCAGCCTTGGCAGAGGCAAGTGCCAACCTTGAAAGGTTTCGACTTATGCCCTTAGCTCTCGCGCAGCTCCTGTCGTCAGCACATAGTGATTGAATGGCCCGTAGCAACTGGCCATTTATTCCATATGTTCGCAGGCATGCCCATAAACTGTTCCGGCGATCCGGTCACAGGCATTCTCTACTTTCACAAAGCACATATACACCGAATGAGCGAGTTCCCACGATTTCCCAGTAATCTGGCGTAAGCCGAAGGTCTGAAGCGACAGTGCTCTTTTTGGATGTTAGAATCAGTTGTTCCGCAAAACCTCTTTTCAAGCACCGTTGCGCCAATTTTTCCCGATAAATTCAGTAGGGTGGTGCACCGATAATTGGAACAGTCCTGGCAGTTTCTTTCTTCCGTTTCTTGAACAGGGCTACTTCGACTCCAGTTCTCCAGTCCATTGGTGTCGTCTCCGTAGTCACTGCAGTTTGACAGACACGTGTTAACTACAGCATACTTTGTTCACTTAAGACTAAACATCTCAGGGCAAATTTCATCGATTCCAGCAGCCCTGCTACTTTTCGGGCCTTCTACATCTTCGATGA